AGAGAGAGAGAGAGAGATTGAGAGAGACACAGAGAGAGAGACAGGGAGAGAGGGGGGGGGAGAAAGTTAGATTGGAAAATTACTCTGAGTTATTCATGAAAAAGGAGTGAGAAGCAACTTCCCAGATCCATAGAGGTGCTTTGGAACAATGTGATTCAAAGCAAGGTTCTGGGCAACACAGTAATCCAAGTAATCCACAGAGAGATGCTGGGCAACATGTTGACTCATGCACTAAGACATTTTGTATTATTAGTTGATGTTGATTAGGAATTTGAAATTAAAATTAGAAAAAAAAATAGTTCACTATACCTTGGGGGAGAGAAAAGATTGTAATTATGTTTTACTTTGTCAAGATTATAATCCAAACTTCAGAACATTCTCAAATTACTTCTTTGCATTCAGAAACAAACTCAATCACCACAGGGTTATGAGTACAAAGAATTGCTAGAAGTCATATTAAACAACAAATCAACATTTATTAAACAGCTAATATAGTAATTAATAGACATTAAATGTAATGTAACACATAGATCTACAAAGAAAAATATACTTTAAACGTTGTAAATAAGTTATTATGTAATTGGATGAGAATGTAGCCCAGAGGTGGAGCACTTGTCTAGAACTTGCTGGTCCCTTGATTTAATACCTAGTACTTCAATACTATTACTACTACTAATAATAATGATAATAAATATTTTATTTTGTTTCAACTCTATATAATTAGTTTTAGCTTTCAGTTCTTGAGATATAGTCCTGGCTGGTTTAAAATTCACACTGATCACTTTTGCCTTAATTGCATAGACATCCACATTTCTCTGCTTTAGGGGTAAGGAGATTGAAGAATTGTGCTACCATACTCAGTTCATATAATAGTTATCATAACAAGAAGCATACTGCCCACTGTCCTAACGTATGCTGTGTCCATTACACTTATTTTCTTTCAGTGCATGCTCACCATTTCTGGAAAGTAGGAAGTAGTTTTCCTACATTACTGATGAAATAAAAGAAATTTGGAGACTGAAGGATTGCATATACACTCACCTGAGTTGTAAATGTCATCTCCGGGCTTTTAATACAGTTTGTTCTGGTCTGATTTGAATTCAAGGATCCCTGCCCTGTTCCAGGTCTACTCTTTGCAGAGAAAGTGGTAGTGCAGTATATATCCTGATGATATGATAGAGAACTGATTAGATGTCTTACAGTAGGTTCATGTGGATTGATTACCATCTGAATGGTTAAAATTTATTTAAAGTTTATGGAGACTTTTATACTTGCCATAATCCCATGTTAAAAGAAAGAGGTTGTATCCAAACATTATCTGACTTGATTAAGATACTATATTAATTTGCTGGATGACAAATCTCATTAAATATATTTTAAATAGCTGTGTGACATTTGGCTTGTGCATAACGCAATAAACACCCAACCAAAATTAAATTGGTCTTTGCACACCAACTCTAAATTAAAATTTGGCTAATGAAATAGGAAAACTTTAATTGTCATGGGCCAACATGAAAATGACTTGAGAATAGAAAACATTATGGAGAGTTCAAGAATTTAGGGACTATGCCAGATTTTGTTAGTTCATAGATAGTATGTTTAGACACTCATATGTGGAAAGTTAACAATTTTGAAAGCCAATGACTTTGCAAAGTCACAGTTAGGGACACAGGACTATTAGGTTTATAAACCACCTCCTGCATTTTCTCAGTAAAACTACCCTATCTTGGACTGTAGCCATGTATAGAGATTACAGCACAAAGATAATGTATTCATGACATGTAATAATGTCATTGCCTGTCTTAATCTACATGCTTTGCTATAACAAATCAGTATGGAGAGGATTGCTTCAAATAGGAAAGGTGTATTTATCATCATTATGGAAGTTGGGAAGTCCACAATCAAAGGCATCTAAAGATTACATGGCTGATGATTAGGCTTCTTCACTAAAAGTTGATTTATTTTAATTTTTATGAATTTGTCTGTATGGATATATGAAGAACACATAAGTGGTTGGTGGTCAGAAAGGCATGGTAAATGGTGCCAGATCCCCTGGAACTGGAGTTACAGACGTTTGCGATTCACCATGTGGGTTCTGGGAACTGAATCCAAATTCTCTGCAGAGCAGCAAAAGCCTTCAACCACTGGGCCACTGCCTCGCTTCCTTCACTTTACTTTTTAGAAGGTCACTTGTTTTCTTGTGATTGAAAGATAAAGTAGACTCAAATAGTAAAAGGACCTCTCTCTTTCTCATGTGCACTCCCTCATGTTCTTTATCTTGTGTGTGTGTTTATGGGTGTGTATATGTGTATCTATGTGTGTACATGGGTGTAGGTGGACAGCTGGAAGAAGGCATGAGCTCCTTGGATTTAGGTGCTGGGAAATAAACTTTGGTATTCTTCGGTAACATGAAGTTGTCTTAATATCTTTCTACCTATCCAGTGTTATCTCCTAGTGCTTCTCCTTCCTTAAAAATAATTTACCTGGTTTCTGTTAAGTGAATATCCTAACACAGTATATTCAGACTAAAAACCAAGATTCGGTATTTATAACAAGGACCAGGAACTAAAGTTCCAGATCTGTGAATAAGAGCAAAGAACAAGACCTAACCACTTACCTTTGCTTTTCCTGCATGCCAGCCAGGATGACTTTTTACATTCTCTTTGAATTTTCTTTTTTTTACATATGAACTCAGACTGAATACCCTCTATTTGGACCTCCATCCAACCATCTTCCTAAATGCCAATTTGTACATTGATTTATTCTTTTTGTTATAATCTGATTCTACTAATTTCTCATATTGATATCTCACTCAACATTGCAAAGAAAACTTAGATGAATTCCCTAACTACTCATCCACTTTTCTACAAGCAGTATAGGCTGAGCTCAAGTCTGTCAGTGGCTACCAGTTTTGGTCACACATTACAGCTCTTTTCAGTAGAGGATTGATCCTATACAGGCTTACGTAACAAGCCTGAGGTGAGGTATGAATATTTTAAATATGAAGTCCATGGTGTAAAAGCTTGCTATTCTATGTGGTCACACAAGGGTTGGTTCAAATTTTGGCCTTGGTGGTTGAGAAAATGTTATTTTAGTAAGTGTTATTTCATGGCACTTATGGTAGCTGCCATGCACTACAAGCATTAGAAGTCTCTGAAGCACTTAGTACTGCTGCAGGAAGGTTTAAAGCTAGTAATTATCTGCCTACTGGGGTGTGGCCTCATATACTATTTATCTGGATGCTGAAGAGTGTCCAGCCCTTCTCTTTTCCCCCCTGGTTCCTGTTTTGCTCTTTCAGGTTGTTTTGGATTCCACCTCCATCCACCATTCAAGCAGAGAATCCTGATTTGTAAGTTTTTCTCCTAAATATGTAACTACCTATCTCTCAGTTCTGAGCTAGTGTAGGATTTCTTTTAAGCATCTGATCTATCCGCCATTACTTGGCACCATGTGGGTTTAAACTTTATGCCCTCTGGGCTGAAGGCTTAGTCCTTCCATAGCCTGGACAGATCTGATTTTGCCTGAACAGTTTTTTTTTTTTTTTTTTTTTATAAAATCCCCATTAAAATGATGTTTGAAACGCTAGTAGAAGCACTGTTTGCCAGCTTCTGCAACCCTGGCATGTGTGGCTTCCGGGTTTCTGTTCTCTGCCCCTGGACTCTGGGTTTCTTGCTCCTTGTATGGAACTGATTTTATTACATTTAATTTGTTGAGAAACTCATATATCCCAGTCTTGAAATATTAAAACAGGACTGTTCATTGCATTGCTTCTTTTCGTGACTTTGCAACAGTACAATCTGCTGGATGATAACTTGCTGTTTACTAGATCACATATTCAGGTTTATAGTAATGGCAAATTTTGTTTCAGTTGCTACCTTTACTTCCTTTTTTCCAACTGCTATGGATGGAATTATGTGAAGATTATATGACTATGGGAATACCTCAATTTATTGGTTACTAAGTTTCAGTTTTCTTCTCCATATTCTATCATTAAGGAAGAATATGACACTAATTGTCAGGATTAATATAACTGGAAATCAGAAGTTATCTGAACAAGTGGATAAGCAATATTGACTCCATATCTAAGGTTACTAAGAAGTTACCTGAAAGGGTTCATACTGTTGAATTGACATTCAAAAGTTATTACAAAATTTTGATAAGTTAACAGAATGTACCTCCAGGATGACAATCTATGCAATATTCAAGAAAAGTTTAAGAAACAGATGTTATCTTTAAAAGGGAACATTAAAACCTTAGAATCACAGGTATAGAATGAGGACCAGAAAATTGATACCTTAGTGAAATCACTAGAAACATTTGCAAGTCAGGAGATTCAGGCTTTACAAAAGACAATGATAAAAAGATTTGAAGTGGCTGGGCGGTAGTGGCACAAATGCCTTTAATCCCAGCACTCGGGAGGCAGAGGCAGGCGGATCTCTGTGAGTTTGAGACCAGCCTGGTCTACAAGAGCTAGTTCCAGGACAGGCTCCAAAGCCACAGAGAAACCCTGTGCAGCGGTCGGATTAATAATCACCAAAAGTATTAGGTATTTGAACAAGTTTAATAACAAAACCAGACTCACGAAACCAAGGTTCCAGCGGAGTAGCCGGCGGAGACAGGAGAGGAAGGGAAGGGGCGCGCAGCCTCTGCCCGCCCAATATATCAGTAAACATACGCCCGAGGGCAGCCCGCCCCCAAGGGGAGGGCTTATCCCTACATCTCCCTCCTTTTGTCTAAATAAGACAGAACTAACCTAAATACAACTATAAACAATAATAATAAATAATAGATATAACAAACAATATTGAGAACAAAAGTTTTACCAGACATTCTATCTCAAGGAGTCTAAATAATGTAGAGAGTAATTACAATTATATAATCTTCAACTCCGTCAAAGATCCGAGAAGGGAATAAATATTACTTAAC